ATATGTAATCTTTCACAGTTTTACAAAGACATATTTCAAATTTGTAAATACGTGACATTCTATAATGCTTCGAGTTCAATAAAAAAAAATTGTATGCCACCTTGGAAATAGGCTCAGTATCAAAAAAATATGTTCTCCAATGCAAGTGCAAGTGGACTAGGTCTTGCTGATGTGACAGCAAGAAAAAGAGACACGGCCTACCCTTATTGAGACACAGACTATGTTTGGTAGACCAATAAGCTAGTTTATAGCCTATTTGATTAGTTTATAAGCTCTTTGTATTTAAATAAGCTCCGTTTGGTAGGACGAACTTATTTAAAAAAAAACTCGAGCTTATTTGATAAGCTTCTTTTTGTAGCTTTTCAAATAAGTTCGTTGAAATTTTTATTTCAGCTAGCTTATCAACTAATTTTACCAAACACTTTTATTATATAAGCTAGCTTTTGAACTATAAGTCATAAGATTTAAATTATAAGCTCGAAATTTACTAATAAGCTATTAGCTAGCTTATTAGCTATCAGCTATCAGCTAGTTTAGCAGCTAGTTTTACCAAACATAGTATAAGTCTATATTTTAGACTCAACTAGAGACTCAGTCTGCTTGCATCGAAGTAAATTTTGTTATTTTATATTTTTGTCCATGTCATCCAAGACTTCAGTTCATTTACATTTCACACCGACAAAACTAGACCTAAAGCGGCTATGCCATCTCCATAATGAGTTAGTCCTACAAAATAATGACAAAACAGGTCCAGCAGAGCACACTCCTCTCTACTTTTACAACTACAATACCACCAAATTGCATCATAATATGACCAACTTTACAACAAGTTATAATTGTGTTCAATAAAGGCTTTGGATGAATAGATAGCAAAGGCAGGCGATTTATGCTATTTTCACCTAGGTTTTGGAACAAGGGTCACACCACATTTCAATAAGCTAAAAAACACATTAGCTGTCAGATATGGTCAAACAGCTGAAAAAAAACTGTTTACCAACCAAATTCTGTCCAACCAAGAGCCATGTTTTTTTTTAATAAAAATGCATATTTTTTTATCTATAAAATGTTACACTTTTATTTTTTTTTTATATAATATATTGAAAAAAAATGTCTGTTAACATCTGGCATCATTTTAACATCAACCTTACTATAATTCTATAAAATTCGTCTAATAAATCTAAAAAATAA